CAGTGGTAAAGTATCTGCCTGCCAAACCAGGAGACCACCTGCAATGCAGGAGACTAGGGTTCAATCCCTGGGTTGAGAAGATCACCTGAAGAAGGAAATGGCAATCCACTCCAGTATTTTTGCCTGGGAAATCCCATGAACAGGGGAGCATGGTGGGCTATAGTCCATGGGGTCGCAAGAGTTGAATGCAGCTTAGCAATGAAATTCCACCACTGTGTGTCACTATCATTTGTTCATTTTCATTCTGATTTTGGCTATTACAAATGAAACTGTTATGAACACTTTATATAAAAATATTATATGTATATAAATTTTTTTGGCAAAGATAGAAATGTAGCTCTGTTATATGCTAAGGAATTAAATGTTGTGTCATAAGAATTGCACATTTTCATTCCATTTAGTATATAATGCCAAACTATTTTCAATGGCTGTCTGAATTACATTTTTACCAGTTACTTGTGAGAGATTAATTTATTCCAAACCCTCATATACACTCAGAATTATGAGTCTAATTTCAACCATTTTTGTGAGTTTGTATCAATATCTCATTGAAATTTTAATTTCCCCAATTATTCCTGAGGTTATAAAACTTTCATATTATTTTTGAATTTCTGAACATCCTCTTTTGTGAAGTTCCTGTTCAAGTTTGTTGCCCATTTTTTCCCATTGGATTTGTTTCTTATTCTCTAAAATTTAAAGAATCATAGGTATATCTAATACACTCAACAACGTAAAGGTGTCAATCCTTTCCAAGCTGATCTAGATGTAACTCAGTATTGATTGTATTCAAAAGAAAGTTCCTGTGGAAATTAAAAAAGATGATTGTAAAATGAACCCAGAAATACAAAGGGACAATATAGCTAAGAAAATACTGAACAAGAAAAAAAGTGGTAAAATTCAGTTCACCAGATAACAAGGTGCATTATGAAACTGAAGAATTCCTGGGGTAAGAAAAGTCAACCCACTCCAGTATTCTTGCCTGGAAAATCAATGGGCAGAGAAGTCTAGTGGGCTACAGTTCATGGGGTTTCAAAGAATTGGACATGACTGAGTGACTGAGGTTATTATTACCTATCTATGTAATTCATTATATACTTTGAATATAGAATTCTATAAACTCAAGATCCAATAATTTTCACTTTGTATACCTTAAATATATGCAAATTTTATTTGTCAACTATGCCTTAATAGATATTGGAGGCAGCAGGATCAAGTAAGATCCTAAAAATAATCAAGATGTACAACTTAAATCTATATAATTTTTGTAAATTATATTTCAATAAATCTGTTAAAGAATAATTTTTAAAAACTACAGTATTGCACATGGCATGGTATTCATGATGCATAGTCTATTTGTCTATGGAAGTGATTTTAAGCCCAGAAGTGAAATTACGTATGTATTGAAAAAAAATTTATATACTTAGTACTGGAGAACAATAGGCAAGCAACATTCTTTTTAACGAATGATATTGTCATTTAGATTCTAAGTAAAAAAAAAAATAACCTGAATTTTAACCCATTCCCCTTACCATACATAATAATGATTTCCAGGTGAAATATAGATCCAAATCCAGGTGGTAAAATAAAGCTCATACGGATAACAACAAAAGATACTACCATCATGTCTTTTGATAGGGAAATATTTCATAAATAGAACACACAATTATAAAGTGTAAATTTATAAAAATGAACTACATTAAAATGAAGGACTGCTCTTTATCAAAACTTAAAGTGAGTTAGAATTTTAATCCAAAGGACTCATATCCATATATAAGAACAATTCATACTTTTGATGAAGTTCAAGTTAACTTTTTTCTGTTTTTGAATCATACCTTGGGCTTCACACCTAAGAAATAATTGGTTATTCTCAAAGTCACAGAGATTTTATTTTATTGTTTTTCTATTTTATTGCTAGAATTTCTTCTGGTACTATATTGAAAATTGTGATCTTAATAATTATAATATGTATAGAACCCCAACAGATTTACAATATATAATCAGTATGTGAAAAACAAAACTCTTACAAAAAAAAAAACTATAGCTACGTTAATCCACTACCTTAGAGGAGATCCAACAGCTTATGTTTTAATATGACATTCTTTTACTAGGAATAAATCAATTTCTTCAGCTAGATTAAATCTAATAATTCTTTGAATTTTCTGCTGTTTTCCTTGCTCTTTTTTTAAATGAATGTATTTATTTTAATTGGAGGCTAATTATTTTACAATATTATGGTAGTTTTTGCCATATTGATATGAACCAGATATGGGTGTACTTGTGTCCCACCATACTTAACCCCTCTCCCACCTCCCTCCCCACCCCATCCTTCTGGGTTATCCTTAGAGATATGCAGATGACACCATCCTTATGGCAGAAAGGGAAGAACTAAAGAGCCTCTTGGTGAAAGTGAAAGAGGAGAGTCAAAAAGTTGGCTGAAAGCTCAACATTCAGAAAACTAAGATCATGGTATCTGGTCCCATCACTTCATGGCAAATAGATGGGGAAACAGTGGAAACAGTGACAGACTATTTTTTTGGGGGGTCCAGGATCACTGCAGATGGTGGCTGCAGCCATGAAATTGAAAGACGCCTGTTCCTTGGAAGAAAAGTTATGACCAAACTAGACAGCATATTCAAAAGTAGAGACATTACTTTGCCAACAAAGGTCCATCTAGTAAAGCTATTGTTTTTCCAGTAGTCATGTATGGATGTGAGAGTTGGACTATAAAGAAAGATGAGCATCCAATAATTGATGCTTTTGAACTGTGGTGTTGGAGAAGACTCTTTAGAGTCCCTTGGACTGCAAGGAGATCCAACCAGTCCATCCTAAAGGATATCAGTCCTGGGTGTTCATTGGAAGGACTGATGCTGAGGCTGAAACTCCAATACTTGGGCCACCTGATGAGAAGAACTGACTCAATGGAAAAGACCTTGATGCTGGGAAAGATTGAGGGCAGGAGGAGAAGGGGACGACAGAGGATGAGATGGCTGGATGGCATCACTGACTCAATGGATATGAGTTTGTGTAAACTCCGGGAGTCGGCGATGGACAAGGAGGCCTGGCATGCTGCAGTCCATGGGGTCGCAAAGAGTCGGACATGACTGAGTGACTGAACTGAACTGAACTGAACCAGCTTTGAGTGCCCTGCTTCATGCATCAAACTTGCACTGGTCATCTATTTTACACATGGTAATAAACAGGTTTCATACTTTGTAATAGAATACAAAGATTTGATACTTAAAAAAGACATTTTCTTTAAGTTCCCAATATTGTTAAAACATTTTCTTGCTTTAAATGATAATGATCTTTCAAAATGTTCTATAGGATGAAATGATGTCATGTGCAGCAACATGGGTGGACTGAGAGATTATCATACTAAGCAAAGGCGGAAAAAGAAAGACAAGTGCCATAGGATATCATTTACATGTGAATCTAAAATATGACTCGTGAACATATCTATGAACCAAAACAGACTCACAGACATAGAGAGCAGACTTGTGGTTGCCATCAGGAGGACGGGTGGGGGAGGGAAGGATTGGGAATTGAGATTAGCAGAGGCAAACTATTGTAGACAGAATGGATAAATAACAAGATCCCACCTGATGAAATAGCACAGGGAATTATATTCAATATCCTGTGATAAATCGTAATGGATAAAAATATGGAAAAAAATATATATATTTATAACAGAATAATACTGCTATACAACTAAAATTAACACAACATTGGAAATCAACTATGGCTCAGATGGTGAAGAATCTGCCTGCCAATGCAGGGAATACAGGTTCCATCCCTGGGTGGGGAAGATCCCCTGGAGAAGGAAATGGAGGAATCCACTCCAGCATTCTTGCCTGGGAAATCCCATGGACAGAGGAGCCTGATGGGCTACAGTCCGTGGGGTTGCAAAAGAGTTGGACATGACTTAGCAACTCAACAACAATAGGACTCATACAAAGGAAAACATTCCACAGACTATCTTATTTTCCTGAAGAAAATTTGAAAATAGCTAATCACTGCAGGAAAATAATAAAAAGTATACAGTGTTTCTATATAATAACTTTTATAGGTTAAATATAACCTTTCATAAAAATGGACCAGTTGCTACAGCACCTTCACTTCTATTTCCAGAGAGACATCTTCTCCCTGCCAGATGAGCTAAGCAATGTTTGGGGGAGTATACATTGCTAATCTTTCAGTATGGTTATTTTAAGAGTATGCGATCAATTATTTGGATTTATCCTTGAAAGAGAGACATAATGTAATTAGGAAGCTACCAAAAATGCCTGGTAAATATATTGGTCAATTAGAAAGATTGTGGAAATTTAATAAGAAGGGAGGGCTGCCTCCAATGTCATGAGAGGGAGAGGAATCTCAAAGTCATTCTGAGGAGACAAGGAGAGCTTTCATCTACATGTTTAGATATGATTGTTGACTTTTTCTAATACCACACATCTATTTTCTCCTAGTTAAATCAAATCAGATACAGGAATAGAAAACAAATTTGCAACTCTTATGACAAGGTGAAATGCTGATTTTTTCTGTGTAACTTTCATACTTGGATGTGCCATCTAAGAAACACTGGCTTAATTCAAACAAACTTAATCATCATCATGTGTGAATACACTTTATTCATAAAAAATAAGAATTGCTGAGTAAAAGCCATTTGCTGCACAGAAACACTGCTGTAAGGAGATAAGTTTACTACAGGACTTTATCTGTCCACCAAATATAACCTCATCATGTAAAATCTAAAAACAAGACAGAGTGGCCAACCAGCTGTGGTTCATAACCTTACCTGCCCCCTATAGCTGCATACACTTACTTCCTGTATCACATCAGCCACAAGCAGATGCACGTGAACTTGAACACATGCTCTTATTAACTGCTTTGAATTTCAAGAGAACCCGAAACGCTTTCTCTGTATTTGGGACCAAAGCCGTCACTCAAGCATTAAGCATGCTGTCTCATGGTATTCAGACTCTGTCCAGGGCTCCACTTACATTATTTTTCTGCAAGACTTGCAGTGCCTTGTTGACATTGTTCAGGGCATGAACTCTTGTGGATCCTTTTTCTTTTGGCTGAAAACAAAATGAAAATATGTTGACTGCCCAGGAGGAGAGAAGGACAATCTACCAGAAACAATGTAGAAAACAATTTCTACATTTCACTTTTCAGTTGGAATCATTTAAATGATCACAGGCTGTGAGGCATTAATATAATGAATTTAAGTGCTTTGGGTTAATTGCCCTTGTCATAGGAGTTTCTTAGCATGAATCAACCACTCCTCAAGAAAACTGATAACATTTTTTTTTCCTGTCGCAAAAGCAATTTTGGTAATCTCTCCTTCATTCTACAGTCCAGTTGAATGACCACCGTAAGAAACATTAGCATGCATACAGACATTTTCTAGGAATATAAATGAGTTAATTCCCACAATTTTTAGGAAAGTTTAAAAGAGATTTGAGCCTAGCAAAATTCTATAATGCCAAATGGGCTTAAAGGAAACTATTTCTTTCAATATTACCTTAATTGTCTTAGTCACTGAAGCTCAAAACCTCAATCATCTTCAGTTCTTTAAACCTTACCCTCAATCCCCAAAGTCTTACCTTGCCCTATAATTTTTAAACTAACATATGTATAGTGTTTACAATTATGTAATATGCAATATATATATGTGTAATATATTGTATTACAATATATGAATTAACTCATTCAGTTGTGGAGGTTTAGAAAGTCTGCCATTGTGATGCCTGCAGTATTTACTCCTAAGTGAGATCTACCATCCTAAAATAATTTTAACTGCACAATATAACAGCATTAACTATAGGCACAATATTGTACAGTGAATCTCTGGAATTGATTCATCTTGCATGATTGAAACTCTACATCTGTTGAACAGCAACTCCCCATTTTCCATATTTCATGTTAAGTGTTCTTATAGCCTAAGAGTTCTTATCACAAGGAAAAGGAAAAATAGAATTTTCCTACTTCTTTAAGTTCATCTGTATGATATGATGGACAATCATTAAACTCGTGATAATCATTTCATGATGTAAGTATGTAAGTCAAATTATTATGCTGTATACTTTAAATATGTACAGTGCGATATGTCAATTATATTTTAATAAAACTGGAAGATGAAAAGAAAAAAGACTAAAAACAGTTAAAAGGTCATTAGGTATAAAAGCCTTATTAAAATATATTCAGTAATAAAGATACCAAATAATAGTAGAGAATAATATCTATTACTGCAAATTTCACCTTCTTGTTCTGCATATGATAGAACATGCCAAAGTAAAAATAATATTGCAAGGTTGTTTTATTCAGAAATAGGTCCTATATTGCTACCTAAATCAGTAATTAGTAAATTAATGAAGTTTACTAGATCTCATAAAATTATGATGAGTTTGTTTCTGGTCTGAAATTCTTCTGAGGTTAATGTGAAGCTCTTATAAATATTTTAAGTCACATACCAGTTTTTGCCCTGTCAGGCCTTCAAGAAGGTCTAGGAGGCGTCTCCCATCCTGTAGGTCACTGAAGAGGTTTTCTATGTGCTGCTTCCCGAACTGAAATAAGAAATACACCCAATTATATAAAGCATGCTTCCAGGTATCCATTTCTATGATTATGCCTTTTAAAATTTAAAGCTATGTTGAAGAATATTTAATGAGTCTAATGCTTAATCTGCCAATGGTGATGGATGAAAAGAGAACTTCCCAGTAAAAAACAAAAAACAATAAATCATTATTCAGCCAAACTTATTAAATATTTCTCTCAATAGCAAGAGTTGGAGATTTATAGTCTAATGGATCTAATTAATCCATCTTTTTTGAATGCTGATTCTATGAAGGAAAGAAAAAAATGTTTAAATTATCGGCAGTTGGGCACTGTTTGACTCTTGAGAGTCCCTTGGACTGCAAGGAGATCCAACCAGTCCATCCTAAAGGAGATCAGTCCTGGGTGTTCATTGGACGGACTGATGCTGAAGCTGAAACTCCCAATACTTTGGCCACCTCATGCGAAGAGTTGACTCATTGAAAAAGACCCTGATGCTGGGAGGGATTGGGGGCAGGAGGAGAAGGGGATGACAGAGGATGAGATGGCTGGATGGCATCACCAACTCGATGGGCATGAGTTTGAGTAAACTCTGGGAGCTGGTGATGGACAGGGAGGCCTGGCGTGCTGTGATTCACGGGGTCGCAAAGAGTCAGACACGACTGAGCGACTGAACTGAACTGAACTGAACTGGGCACTGTTTGGGGAGAAGTAAATACACCAAGAAAGACTACAAATAATTTGCCTTGAGTGGGTACATAAAATTTAAGCATTTAGCATGCTTGGAAATATAATATGTAATCATTGAGGGCTCACCATCCTTCACCCATAATTCTCTGCATATACGTTTTGCATGCTGCCTCAGAATGATCTAGTCACATATTGGATGGCTCAAATTTTAAAACAATATGATTTAAATTAAGTGAGATAAGTCAGTGAAAGCTTTTCATCTATTTTTCTCACTTCTATACTTGGGAATTATATTGCAGAAAAAAAATAGCCACTAATAGCATCTAACATTTTTGGAATAACTATTCATAAGAGCTAACTATTCATAACAAACATCCCACTAAATTTATAATTTGTGTAACATTTCTGTGAGGTTAGCATTGGTATACTCATTCTATTGATGACACAGAGGTTGAACATATGGCCCTTTGTGACAAAACAAGAAGATGATAAAACCAAGTTTTGGGCCCAGATCTGTCTAATTCCTGGGGTTCTTGTTCATTCTATTTTATTAGGCTGCTTACTTGGCCTTTTCCTCCTTCCATCTGATTATCTTTCAAATACTTTATTTCTTCTGTCATGCCCCCAGATATTTTTTTCTGGTTTTAAGCCTCCAATCCCTTCATATGAAATCGTTCACAACCCAAGATATCAAGAAAGCCCTAATTTATCAATGAGAGATGTTTATTGAGCACCAATAAACCCGGACTAGGTGCTAGAGCATACACTAGTAAATCAGTTGGATATGACCCCCGTCTTCATGGAACTTTGAGTTGAGCAGGGAAAACAAATATTTCTAAAAGGTAATGCTATGAGGGAGAAGTAAAAGAAACTCAGGAGCACATAACCAAGGGAATTCCCATAGTCTGAGGATCAGGGAATACTTTCCTCACAATGTCACATGATGGGTCTAACATTAGCCTTTGGGTGATTGGCCTTTCCTTATCCACTCCTTCAATCACACACAAACTTCAGATTTCACACAGCTAAGAAGAACCCTGGTTTCCAGTCAAAAGACATCTCTGAAGCTTCTAAGATTGAAGACAGAGGATTCAGGATCTCCCTACAGCCAGGTAGCCATGTCCAAGACAAGTCCTGTCAGTGTCCAGGTATGTCACTTAATGAGACTGACCACTGACCACTGCAAAAAGTCTACCAGTCCCTCCATACTCAGCTTTGGGAATTGAGCCACATATGTGCTTTGACAAAGATAACCACAAGTCATTCTTTTGAAATTCTGCTCAAATAGTTCTGATTTAAAATTCCAGGGCAGGGACTTCCCTGATGGTCCAGAGGTCAAGAATCTGCCTTCCAATGCAGGGGACATGGGTTCAGTCTTGGTTGGGGAACTAAGATCTCATGCCACGGGGCAACTAAGCCCATGTGAAGGAAATGCTAAGCCCACAAACCGCAGCAACACAGTCTGGATGTTTCAGCGGAGATCCTATGTGCTGGAACTCAGACCCGACACAACCAAAATGTGTGTATATATATATATATATATATATATATATATATATATATATATATATATATATATGTAAATAAATATTTACATATAAATAAAATTGCAGCGAAAAAGAGACCACAAAACACTATGCCACTAGAACATTTAAAAAGTACTTTTACTATACATAATGTACAGGTAAATATTGAAACAACAATGCCATTTTCATGAAATATTAAAGGAAGCCTTCTACTAATAAGCAAAGAAAATGAACCTGTCAAGGATCTCATATATAATCCAGAGTAACTTTGCAGTGGTGGTGAGGAATATTAAGATTTTATTTTCATATTGGTTAAAGGTCTACAATACCTTGAAAATGCTCTTGTTTTTTTTTTTCTAGGAGCAAATTTTCCTTTTGAGAAGTGTGTGACTTTTAAACTTATTGACAAAAACAAAATAGCAGAGTGAAATGTGTGAGGTTTTGAAGTAAATTAAATATAGTTAGTTGACAGAAATACTTATTCTTAATAAAATGTATGTATCTAGATAGACAGATAAACTGATAGATAATAAAGTATGTCAAACCAGGAAGGATGCGGGTTGCAAAGTGTTCACTCAAGAAGAATGGCAGGAACTTGAAAAGGTCTAAGTCTTTGGGGCAAAGAATAAAACATGAACCTCAAAGTCGTAAGAATCACCTAGCATCCAAGATACAAGGAGTAGAAAGATTATGCTCTTGGACAAGGAGCCGAGACGAAGATCAGCAAGGCAAATAGCATCTTGCTTTGATACAAGTTTATACACAAGGACCAGGTATTTTATAATTTTCCCTTTTAAACTGGAATCAAACAAAACAGAAAGGGAGGCAAGGACTAATCAGAGGCCTCCAGGCACATCTCATTGGGGCACCTAGAAAGCAGTGAGGTGATAGAGAAAAAGATTGTTCCTGATATATATAATATTCAAACTCATGCAATCAGTGATATATTAAAGTATGACAATAGAAAGCCAATTTATATTTGTTATACCCACCATGATCTCTAATAGAGTGCTTCTCAGAATGTTCCACTAAAGCATCCTTCCAGCAGATAAGACTGAATGTATTTATCTCAGAGCCTAGCAGTGAAAAGTATATAGTGACTGCAGGTTCAAAATTTCTTATGAAAGCATATGTTTTACGTTAAGGATTCATGGAGATTTCATCTTCCTCACTTAATGCATGTTGAACTTAAAAGTAATTTCAAGCACTTTGATTGAAATTTCCCCTCCTATGGTCTAATTAAAGTGATGTTCAAAGAAATGTACAATATTTAGCCTGTAACTGCATGGATGTTCAGGTGCTCAGTCTTATTCCGCCTGGACTATGCCTACCTTGAGGAACCCAAAACATGTCTTTTCTATTGAATGGTTTTCTATTCTTTCATAAATCCAATGCCTCATTCCATAGCATTACAGGTATGATGTAGCAAAAGTTGCACACATTTCTGAGACAGAAATAGCTAATTTTTTTGAACCCAAGTCTTACCAGCTTCACTGTCTGAGGCAAGTGACTTAGTCTTTCTGAGGGACAATCTATTCAATAGTAAAATGGGGATTGAAATAATACCACATCAGAGTCTTAAGTTTCTGAGGCTTAAGTGAAATAGTGTAGGTGTGCTATACAGACTTGGCAAATATTAGGCACACAGGAAAGATAGGATGATGTTTTTGTTTTGTTTTGTTTTAGTCTATTATTCCTTGACTTCTCCTTCTTTGGCAAAATAGAAGAAATAAATTCAATTATGGTTAACTATTGAATCCACCAGAAAATACAGAGCTCACATACAATGCATTCTATTTTCTCTTAGATGCCCCTCCATATTCAATTACTAATACTAGTAAATGTGGATGGACAGGGGGAATACTCAGAGCCTTCAAGTTCTTTATCTTACTTTAGTGTTTTTTTCCCTTTAGTCACTTTTAATTAAGTCTTTTGTTTTCTTTCCTTTTCATCTTCTATGAGAGACATCTGCCATGTCTTTTTGTTGCAAGTGACACATCATCCAAACAGTAGTTTTCTTTAAAACCCCTGTGTTTAATGGCTTTCTTTTCAAGTGTCTGAAAATAATCTTATAAAACACATAAAACATTAACTGCCTTGGGCCATAATGACCCTGTGGCTCTCTATCTTCAATTGCTTTCATGACTAATATTTTCTTTAAAAAGTAAATTTTGGTATTACTTAGAAATTTCCTATCTTCACTTATTTTTGTCTTCCTTGCTAACCCAAATATCAAGATGAAAGGACCATAAAATGAGATAGCAGTCCTTCCAGATCATGGTCAGGATGACATAACTTCTGTATTTATATAATTTTTTATATATTTATACATATACAATGTACAGACAATGTTAAAAAAAACTCAGGTTTATTGGTAAGTGGCATAAACACAGCAAAAAAATATCAAAGTAAAAAAAGTGAGAAAGGGATAGAAATGAATTAAAAATTATTTCAATAGCTTCCGACTCTTCAGAGCTGTCAGTCTTTTAACCAGTAAATACAGATAATTCAACAGCATGTTCCAATAAAAGGTAAAGAGGCAAGGAATAATTTAACATGGCCTTCTGCTTACATAAAAGTCAGCCTCTGGACATCTCTGTTGCTGAGAAAATCAAGATACTTCTCTGTGATTCTGAATCTTTGGCTATTAGAAACATAAAGAGCAAGAGAACACCAAAAGGAGGGCAAAACTGATTCCAAACTTATTGGTAAAACCTGTTGACCAGTTCTTGATAAAAAATAATGCAATCCATTGTAAGCATAAGTTGTCAAGAGTATTTTATAAGATAATTTTA